GCCACGCCCACTCTTACGCCCACAAACCGCCCAAAACTGTGGCTCCTACAGTTTTGATGCTAGAAAAAAAATTTTAACTTAAATGTGTTGTTCTATCGATCGACCTAAAAAAAGTTTGCCACGCCCACTTTAACGCCCACAAACCGCCCAAGCCAGTGACGCCCAGAATTTTCACGCTAGATAAAAAATTTTAACTGCAATGTTTTGGTCTCGTCAATGCCTATCGATTGATTCAAAAAAAAATTTGCCACGCCCACTCTAACGCCCATAACGCTTAAATCTGTCTACCGCCAGTAGGTGGCGTATTTTAATCTCGCTTTGCTGCTTGCATATCTCCACATCGCTTTGATCCCTTTAGCTGAGTAACGGGTATCTGATATTCGAGGCACTCGACTATAGCGTTCTTCCTTGTTTTAATAATAATAATAAATTCACTAAGCAAAAAGTTAGTTTACACTTCAGGTCAGTGTGCAGGGAGAAATGGCAAAAAGGGAGAGGCCCCCCTCCAGCGCCATTACCGTTGCTTTTCAACAGTTTAAATTTTACATGGCAAAGATAATTGGTATTGATGATAATTCGTATTGAAGACAATTGGAATTGGTATAAATTAAAAAGGTATTGAGTTATTGGGGAAAGAGAGGGGGACAAAAAAGACAAATAATTTACATTATTATTTCTGAAAATGTTTGAAAAAATGCATTTAATCATTTTTTTTTGTTTTTTATACAAATTTTTTCCGACTTTTTCGCCTTAAAAAAATCTTAAAAAATATAAGCAAAATGATTTTTGAAAAATTCTTTTTTCAGTTACTATTATTTTTGTTCGAAGAAACTTTCTGAATCAATAAAATTTAAGTTTTCAAGACGAGAAAAAAGTTTAAAAAGTAGATTTTCACACAAATTTTTCATTTTCAATAAGTACTGAATGAGTAAAGAAAAGTATTGTATCATTCAAACACATTTAAATTACCTTTCCATTGATGCCAAAGTTTACAAGAAGTAAGTTAAAATTATGAGTATATTTAACTTTTGTTTCGTCAAAATACTTATGCCGACCAGTGTATAAGTTAACTAAAGGCAACCGGACTGAGAGTCAATGTCCGAAGATTAAGCGCTGGCCAAATTGCTGACACTGCATTTTACTGGACGCTCCTGCGTACTGGCGTCGATACTTTTGCGGGACATCTTCTGCAACAACATCGGCAGCTGCTTGCCTGTCTCACTGCGCTATCATCAACTTGCTCCTCTCTACCGTTGCACCAACAAGAACATCAGCCGGAGCTTTTGTTGTCCGCTTTGTGTCACATTCGCCGTCCGCCTGGCTCTAATATCGGCGCGCTCCACGGAGTTGCGCTTACGTCATCTTCCGTCGCTCTCCTGACGCTCCATCAACAACATCAGCCGGAGCTCTTGTTGTCCGCTTTGCGCGACATTCGCCGTCCTCCTGGCCCTAATATCGGCGCCCTGCTCGGAGTTGCGCTTTCATTATCTTCCTTCTCTCTCCCGAAGTACCTAGAACATCTGGATTCTTACTCTTCATCGCCTAATAGATATGCGCTCGACGCTTTTGACGTTCGACTTTCTAAAACAACTTTTCTCGACACATTTGGCTGGATGGCGAACCTCTCAGAGTGCTCTCTGGAGATGCTCTCGCCATCAACAACAACAATGGCATTTTACTGTGGCATTTTTTAAGAAATTATAAGCTACAGCTGTTCAGCTCAGCTCTTATGGAATGGTAGATATTGGGTGAGCTCGGTGGGAATGGGAGTCTAACATTTGTCACCCCAATTTTGCAAGCATTTTTGGAAAGAAATTGAATGGAAGGAAATTGTTATAAACACTTAAAAGGGTCTTAACGGTTATAGATTGTGGAAACTATAGTCCCTATTCTCTAGGTCCTATGCACTATATTTTCACGACGGAATGGAAATCTCACTCTTGATAAATTTTCCAATATAAAAAAAAACATTTTACACTTAATACTTTAAGCACTAATACAATACTTCAACCTGGAAGTAGGGCCAATGTATCCCTGCATAAGTAACCTGACTTGTTTGCCCAACTCATTTACTGGATTGGGCTTGTGTATTCGAGTAGGTGGGCAAATTCCCCAAACCCAAATAACCCAAACAACAAGAAGTCAAGTAGGTCAGGTAAAATAAAAATAGGAAAGGTCGGATGGAGTTGGGTTTCAAGTAACACGGTCTTGTAAAGTAATATACATGTATCACTATTTTGAAATGATGTGGTCAGTCAGTGCGTTGATTATTACCCAAGCCGCGCATATGCTACGGTTGAGTGGACCACAAGAGTTCGCGGCGAGGCGAGGTGCTATGATTATGAAGATCTGTTATGTTATGTTATTCTGTCCTAAAATTGTTTGCTATAAAGTCATAGGAAAACTTTGGAATTAGAAATGGGTAACTTTATTTTAGCTCAATCGATATGTTCCCGTAACAAACTTGCGCTCTATCTTTGATAGTTTCTGAGATAACCGCGTTCCAATTTACGATTTCTTGAAGTTTGTGGGCGGGTATAATAACACCTGACCTACTCAAACAGTTTTTAATAACAGACCCGTATACTTGACCTGAAATTAGGTTTGGGTACCCAAATTACCCAATTTGTATACCCATGCAGTGCTTTAGTAGATATTAAAGGGTCAATCGTCTTTCCGACCTGTTTTTCTTATTCTTCAGTGGAAATTTAGTTTAGTACCTGTTGACCTTTTCCTGACACTGGGGGAATGTAAAAAGTGCATTTATACAGAATATCAGCAATTATATATACATTATATAATTTTGGGTCGAGTACTAAGCGCTCAATTAAGAGAGTAAAATAGACAGCTGGTCTACAAAAGCCCACCGACTTTTCGTCTGTAGCTTAAGTGATACTACTTATTTAATTTATTTATTATTTAATAATATTCTACGCTAAAAAACTGGGAAATCTATACTTACCAGCGACTCACATTTTCTATTTTCTTCTTTTACTCTTTCAACGCTGTTTTTCCCAAATCAATAAAAATTTGTAAGTCCATGATATGCAATTGGAGTATAACTCGTTACAATCGGTCCGTTACAGTCGATTTTCATTTCTTCGTGTATATATAGTAGTCGCCTTCGCACATTCTCCTTGTGGGCTTCGTTATTTCGCGGACTGCCCTGTAAAAATGGTCATAGCTGAAATTATAACTTAAACATTTTCCACGGGCATCAAAAAATGATTAAAGATGACTCTTAAAATCGTTTGTTTTCATTTACAAATTGTTATTTTTTGTGAACTAATAGAAATGCGAGCGAACAACACGTATCCACATATTTTAAAGAAAGTGAGCGAATACCCACATGTATATCTAATAAGATTAAGCAAGTTGCGTGTCTGACCGTGACGTGGGTTAATAAAAGAAAAAAAATTACTATAAATTTGAAATTAAAGATTTAATTTTTTTAAGTTTTTTGGTTTTTAAGAGAGTGAATAATTTATAAGATCTACAACAAATTTATCAAACTTTTTATAGCAATCGTTATTTACGGCTAATTAAACATTAAGAGCAAAAAAATATTTTCCTTTTTTAGATAATGTGTTTCAGATTTACAAAACACCGTATTTTATGCAGAGCAAAATGGTTTCCAAATCTTACAATAAAAGTCAACTATTAACTAGCTCTCTAAAAGAAACTTTTAGAGTAAAGTAAAAAGTTTTTTTATCCGAAAAAGTTTAGCTATCAGATAACCAGCTGAAGGGAGTGCGAGATTGCACACTACACAAAAGCTACTATCGGCTGTTTACGAGATTTCTCTACGCCACACAGCGTTTGTAGGAATAAATTAAAGAGTGATCCTGATCAAGAATATATATACTTTATCAGGTCAAAACGCTTCCTTTTGCCTTTTACATACTTTTCGACGAATCTAGTATACCCTTTTACTCTACTAGTAACGGGTATATAGCCTAAATAAATAATACAAAATGTTTAAATTGCAATGCTTAAAAGCAAAACAAGGATACCTTCTTAGTTGATTGCCTTGTCCATCATACACCCGTTGCTCAATTAACCAAATTAACTTATAAACTAACGGTCCGTTTAACATCATTATTGACACATCAAAAGGTATTGACGAATTGACTTATCTCCACCATATCCACCCGTCCGTATGAACGCTGGGATCTCGGAAACTATAAAAGCTACAAAGTTGGGTTCAAGATATTTTTGCGCAGCGCAAGTTTAGTTCACCTGGGTGCCACGCCAACTCTAACGCCTACAAGCCGCACAAGATTGTGGCACTCACATTTACTCACTCATATATATAAGTGATAAGTGTAAAAATGTTAAGTACATACAAATTAAAACATCGATGTACATACATACATATTTATTTCGAAGTTGATTAGCTAAATAACGGCTATCTGATAGTCAAGGCACTCGACTATAGTGTTTTTCCATGTTTGTCTTTCTTTTTTACATTTTAAAAATTTTGTTTAAATCACAAAACTAAACTAAAATGCCACGCCGGTTTTAAAGCCCTCCATATATAAATATTTTTTTCAGTGTAGTTATATTTTATTTAATAAAAGTGGACTGTTGGTTACTTGCATAATCATTTATCTTCAAGCTGGAAGTATAACCAATTTTATTAGTACAGACCTAGAAAGTCGGAAGTGTAGAAGAAGTGTACTTAAGGGCCAATCGTCTTGGGCCGACCTCTCTTTGAGATAATACCCAATGGTGTGTTGCTTTTTCTTTGGTGGAATTCCAGTATATTTTTGCTGACACTGTAGGAATATTAAAATCAAATTTGAACAGAATCGCAGCAATTATATGAACATTATATAATTTTGGGTCGAGTACTAAACGCTCAATTAAAAGATTTAAATACCCAGCTGGTCTATAAAGCCCAGCGACTTTTCGGTTGTAGTCCAAGTACTGAGCTAACACTTTATCAAATGGTAAAAAATTGGAATCCAATGAACACATTTCTTGTATTTTGTAGCAAAATGTTTCAAAAAATTGGCATGTTCTTGATTTTTTGGAATTGCAGCACACTGGCTGCGGACATCCTAATGGCTACACAAGGTAAAAAGATAATTCATCTAATAATAAGTATTCCAGGAAAAATTAAAAAGTTTTTCAAAATGTTTTTAGGAGGAACAAAGTCTCACAAGATACCATTCTGGGAACTGGCGAAGGGCCTCATTTCCAGGTATTTATGCATGTAAATTTTATTAATAATACCCATTCCTCGTCAAGAAAAATGGTTTATGGCACGTTTATTTTGAAGCACATTTTCGCGACAAAATAATGTTAATATACTTGATCTGTATCACTAGCCGATCGATCCAAACATGTAAGAACGTCGATATCCCGAAAACTATAAGAGAAAAAAGGCTTGGACTTAAGCAGCAGATTCTACTGATGCCACTAAGGCAAGCCAGTTATTTATGAAATTGACCACGGTTTTATCAAAATTGAGAGTAAGAAAAACTAACATAATTAACATTGGGCATAGAAAATACAGGGTATAGTGTGCAGCCGAGTCGATTCGCCATGTCCGTCTGTCTGTCCGTCAGTATGAACGCTGTGATCTCGGAAACTAAAAATACTGGGATTAGGCTTGCAGATTCTAGAGATTCCTGCGCAGAGCAAGTTTGTTTCGCCAGGGTGCAATGCCGACTCTAACGCCCACTGGCTCCTACAGTTTAAATGGTAGAAAAAGATTTTTATCTGAAATGTATTGTTCTCGTAAATACCCATCGATTGGCCCAACAAAAATGTTGCGACGCCCACTCTAACGCACACAAACTTCAAAAAATCATCCATATGAACACTGATATCTCGGAAACTATTTAAGATTTAGATTTTTTAGCTTCGCACGCAGCGCAAGCTTATTACGCTGATGTGCCACGCCCACAAACCGCGCAGGACTGTGGCGCTCACAGTTTTGATGCTAGAAATTTTAACGGAAATGTATTGGTCCAGTCAATACCTATCGATTGACCTAACGCCCAAAAACCTCCCAAAAAAAAAGCAGTGACGCCAGAGCATGTGTGTGTAAGTAGTTGCAGGCAGAGCTCCGCGCAGCAGAGCGCCCGCTTTCTTATTCTATTGAATAATTAACAATTAAATAAATTTTTCCTTTTGTTTCAATTTCAATTATCTAATTCCGATTAAGTTAACGTAAACTTTTAATAGCTGAGAAACATTGGTATGGTCGCGGGAGGGGGCTTCTCGCTCTTTGCCTTACCACTCTCTCCATTCTGACCTGCAGTGCATTCTCATAAGCGACAAAAAAAGAGACGTAAGATCGTTTACCCGGTGTAAATATTTCTGTTTTCTCATTAGTCGATACCTATCGATTGATCCAAAAAAAAATTTGCCACGCCCACTCTAACGCCCATAACGCTTAAATCTGTATACCGCCGGTAGGTGGCGCATTTTAATCTCGCTTTGCTGCTTGCATATCTCCATATAGCTGAGTAATGGGTATCTGATAGTCGAGGTACTCGACTATAGCGTTCTTCCTTGTTTTTTGAATAATCTCGTAGTAAGTTAAACGATTTTTTAATTTCGATCAAATATGTTAAAATAGTACAAAATAATTAAATTAAATATGTTCCATAGTAAAAATTATTATATTTTTATATTTCTTTTAAATATTTTCATATTTAGTTCCAGTAAATAGAATATTTCATTTGAATGGTTTTTATAGTTAAAATAATTATAGCCCGCCCTCAAACTCAGCATATTTTTATTTGGATTAAATAATTCTCATATTTAAATCAGACTGGGATGAACTTTAATATAAATACAAATTTTATTTAAATTAAATATAATCCCCGTTAAAAGAACTGTACTTTATTTTTGATTTAAATATAGTATTTAAGCCATACTATTATGGTGCATATTCAATTTAAACCGATCCGTAGTTTAAAACAAGCGTGATTTATATTTAATAAAGACCCAAATAAGTATATGGTTTTATTAAAAATAAACGTAAACTTATAATCCAAACAATTCTGCTTAAACTCTATTTTTACCATGCTAACACGTCATCATTACTTTTGTTTTAAATACAGTTGTACTTAACGTAACTCTTAGAATTTATATGATACATATATACATATACATATTATACATTATTATACATATTATACATTATTATACATATTTTTTATAATCACACATTTTTTTGTTTTGCCACGTTCGTACGCCTGCATGTGCGTACAAAACTTTCCTGCGAGTCATAGTAGTGATAATTTCTTTCGCTTGTTGGTTCCTTTAATGACGGTCCACGAATTATTTAAGATGACAGATGTGAGCAATACGGTGTAAATTTAGTCCTTGTAATCTGTGAATAAGAATATGTTATTCGATTTTTGGTAATGGCATAATTTAGAAAAAGTCAAGCTTATCATAAAAAGATAAAATTTATAAATTTAAAAAAAACAAGGAAGAACGCTATAGTCGAGTACCTCGACTATCAGATACCCGTTACTCAGATAATGGGATTAAAAGGAAATGGAGATATGCCAGCAGAAAGCGAGATTGAAATGGGCCACCTACCGGCGGTAGACAGATTTAAGCGTTATGGGCGTTAGAGTGGGCGTGGCAAACTTTTCGGTCAATCGATAGGTATTGACGAGAACAACACATTTCAGTTAAAATTTTTTATCTAGCATGAAAATTGTGGGCGCCACAGGCTTGGCCGGTTTGTGGGCGTTAGAGTGGGCGTGCCACATTGCTGAATCAAACTTGCGCTGCGTAAGAAGCAATAGAATAAGTTAGCCGCGCACTTTGCTCTCTCTGAGCGCCGGCAGTGCTTTTTTCTTTGCCGCTAAGTTCGGCCGGCAACTATTTACATACACACACATACACGCGTAAAAACATTTCGCATTGTCTGGCTCTGACGTCATAGCTTTTTTTCTTGGGAGGTTTGTGGGCGTTAGAGTGGGTCAATCGATAGGTATTGACAAGACTAATACATTTCAGTTAAAATTTTCTATCTAGCATCAAAACTGTAGGAGTTACAGTTTTGGGCGGTTTGTGGGCGTTAGAGTGGGCGTGGCAGTCTACTGAAACAAACTTGCGCTGCGTAAGAAGCTCAGGAATCTGTACGCCAAATCTCAATAGCCTAGCTCTCATAGTTTCCGAGATCTCAGCGTTCATCCGGACAGACAGACGGACAGACGGACATGGCTAGATCGACTCGGCTAGTGATCCTGATCAAGAATATATATACTTTATGGGGTCGGAAACGCTTTCTTCTGCCTGTTACATACTTTCCGACGAATCTAGTATACCCTTTTACTCTACGAGTAACGGGTATAATTATACATTACCAAGTGATACAGTTTTCTGAACTGTCTTTAATAGTTTAAGTTGCTTTTTGTTTTGCATTTGCTCTTCGTAAAAGCAAAAAACCTTTTCCTTAAATGGGTCCCATATATCAAATACAATATGTTGAAATAAATTTGTATCTATAAAGAAAAAGTTAATAAGTCTTATAATAAGTTTCGAGTAGGTGTTTTTATATAAAGGGATTTAAATAAGACAAAAATATTGTTTAAATTTATTTCGTTTTTATTTTTTTTTAAATATCAAAATTACATAGTTAGATTTAAAGAAAAATCACGTGAAAGAACCAAAAAATATTATAAAGAAATAGATGAAACGACTGCGACGCCACAGAACCGAATGCAACGGCAGCAAAGCGTCTTTTTTGCGCCTTTTTAGAGTTTTCCATCTCATGCATTCTTCTCCTTTTAATTTCCTTTCATATTCTTCATTTCTTTCGCGTGTTTTTTATCCACTTCATGTTTATTACCCAATCGCATATATTTTATTGTTTTTAAATGTAATTTTCTTTTGAGCTTTGTTTATTTCGTTAAATGTATTATCTAAATTTTCACGAAATAATAACGCACACAACAAAGAAGAAACTCAAAAAGGAAAAATGCGACAAAAAAACGTGGACATGCACATGCCTTAATACTAAGTAATTATTGTATTTTTATTTGACTCACCTTTTTTCTATACTTTTCACTTTTTTATTACACTTAAATGAACACTTGTCTACCGAGCTCTATTAATCACTATTAATCACACAATCCGATCAGGAGAACCGCTTCCCAGTCGTAAATGACAGCATTCCAGTATGCGTTCTTTCATTATGAAATGGCATCAAAAAGGTGTTCCGGAAGTGATGAGTCTGTCCATTCTTTTTACACGGGTGCGGGACAAAAAAGAATGCACCCGTTGCATGCTTCTGGAAGCATATATCTGGAATGCACCTGGAAGTAAAAAACTAAACACATTCTGGGTGTACTCTTTTTTAATGCACCTGGAAGCAACATAATAAACACCTTCTGGGTATATTCTTTTTTAATGCACCTGGAAGCAACATAGTAAACACATTCTGGGTGTATTCTTTTTTAATGCACCTGTAACATGTACCCAGGAATGCACCTAGAAGCATTCAAAAACCAAATATCTGGAAGTTTTCCCCAGGAATACATAAAACTGGATTTCAATTTCATATTTATTTTCATTTCAATATTCAAGAACGCAACTAATTTTTAATCGGAGTAACTCCCCTTCTGTACGGTGCTTTGGTGCTTCCTTCTTGTTTATGTACTTTTGTCATTTACGCAGTTCAGTCCTTGGTGTGCCCATTCATTTTTTGCGATTCTGAAAAATATAAAGCAAATTGAATATTATATATTTTGAAATATGTGTATATACATTACAAATATACAATATGTTTATTTTGTATGTACAATTTACACACAAATAGTTATTATTTTATTTGTTTAATATTTTTTTAGTTTGAATGTTCAGTGTACATGTACTGTGTTATTTTATTGTGTTCATATTGAACTAAATTATCTACACTTTACTTACCTGTGAAAATATTGATGTAAAATTGGTGGCAGAAAGCAACAAACTTTTTCAAAACACGTGGCACGAACTTTACTTTTCAGAACTAAAAATGCAACTGACGAGAAATCCAAGAGACAAGAAAAACCGCTCGCTCCTTGCATGTTCCCTTTTGTCTTTATTATTTGTTTGTCAAGAGAACAGTTCCGAAAAAAGACGATTGTAAAAAAATGCGCATCGGCAACCTTCGGGTTTGAGTTTGGTTTTTTTACATTCCCACTAAAATGCACCTGGACGCACTATATTGAAATACACCCAGATGGCACC